TATTAAAGCTTGATCAGATCTATCGTTTGCTTTCATTTAGATTCACCTGGAATTCCGGTGCTAAACTTTTTAGCAGTTTTCTTACAATAGTCTTACATTTTTGTTATTCAAAAATAATTCAACATTTGTGCCTCATCTTCATTTGCTGGTCCCTGACCGATTAATGACCTGTTATTCCAAGTTATTTTCTTATCTTTGTAAAATATTGTCTTTGTGAAAGATGAGATTTATGGTATAATGGTTAGCAAAGATAAGAAAATAATTTGGAATAGCAGGTCATCAACCGGCCAGGGACCGGTGAATGAAGATGAGATACAAAGATTGGATTATTCATGAATAACGAAAAAGTGGGACTATTGTAAGAAGACCGCTAAAAGATTGGATTATTAATTTCCATTTTCCCAAACATATATATAAAACAAAACCGAACTGTTCCGAAATTGCAACTACGAGTATAAGCTTAAATCGTAGTACCACCGGTGGGCGTAGCTCAACTGGTAGCAAGGGAGTGCCACAAGGGTTAGGTCTCGGGTTCGAATCCCAGCAACTGCGATGAGGGGTTACTATGCTGAAAAATGCATAGGGCCTCTGCAAGTATCGGGGACAGAGCCCCACTCTCTATCTGTCAGATTGTGATTATAGTCCAATTTACATCCTCCCATCGTGCCGTCCGGTCGGTGTTGGGGGGCCCTCAGGGATGGGGTGTCATCCTTTTTTTTAAATCGTAGTACCTCGTTTTAATTAATTGTACTATAGAGATCGATTATAAGGTTAAATCGTAGCAATGTTGAATTAATTATAAAGGTGTGTGATTGCTTCTACTTAAGCAAGATGATTTTTACTTGATTTTAAATAAAATGTTTAAAAGTAAAAGTTGAAAGTTATAAGTTACAACTAGCAACCTTCGCCCCAAACAAGAGAGGTGAACTGGGCATGTAAAAAAACCGACTCGCAATGAACTGCTCTGATTCGAGACATTTGGGGCGGGTTCGCCCTACCCCGTCTTGCAAATGGGGCGGGTGAGTGCGGGTCCGCTCCGCCCCTGCTCATACAATGGAGAGGGTCTGGGTCTTATTATTGACCCGTGCCCCCAACCCGCTCCATATATAATTGTACAAATTATTTTTAAAATTATACAACAAATATACTTCCATACTTACATGTGTTAATGTGTATATGATAAATCATAACTCTTTCATCTTATAATAACTATGTAATATTTGTATTTGATTGAGATGAACGACGAATTTTTAATGTCTTTTATATATTCAATTATTAATGTAAGCATATTAACTATTCAATTCTAAGTATTTTTTTTCTTAAATTTTAAAATTTTAAGCGTATTGTGACTTTGATTTAATATATTATTTTTTAATAATTATTTAGAGGTAAACTTTATGTAGATTCAAGTGGTAATAACTTCACACAAATAGAAATGCATGCTAGCTAATTAGGTTACAACTAATTAGCTACAGAGAAAGCAAGAAAAGGGAAGGAGGATTTTTTTATAAACTGCATATTTAACCAGATATTTAAAGCAAAAGAAATAATAAAAAACAGCTTAGGTTCAAAGCCCTAGTCTTTCTTCATTAATTATGACCATAACCATACACAAGTCTCCTTATTTTTAATGTAGAAAAAACCCCACCACCTCCAATTTTAAGAGATTTGACTTTTGTGTTTGGATATCAGACTAATAAATATGGAAGCATGAGAAATCCAATTACTGTATCATGTGAAACTACAACATTTCAACATCTAATGTATCACCCAAAAGTGTTACAATAACACTGAAAAGTGTTACATTCGAGAAAATGTAACACTTTTTTACCATTACATTTGCTCATGTTGCATTTGACCTATTGTAACACTTTATAGTCCTTAATGTAACATTTATACTTCTAGAAAGTGTTACATTAGGTCTAAAAAGTGTTACATTAGAGAAAAATGTAACACTTTTATAGGTATGTTACATCTTCAATATTACGTTGAGTTAAATTGCAAGAGTGTGGATTCAGCTGTGTGTGTACTCTTGAATGTCCCTCCTACTTTCATCACTATTTACAAGTCTGATATTAGGTCTCATGTGATAGTGTTTTCTGTTCTCTTTTTATGAAAAGCAAAAGAATATTCTGAAAACCAGGGAAAGTTTCTCTGTTTTATGTTGTCAACTTCAAAATTTACATTTATACTTTTTAGAGTATCTAGGGGTGTGATTTTCTTTTAGTTCATTTTACAAGTTAAATCATATACTGTATATCCTTTAAACATATTAGATACTCGCGTTTTAATGTACTACTATTTGGTCCAGACTAAAAACATTACTGAGTTTCTGAAACCTGTGGAAGGAGAAAACTATTATCGGTCCAGTGGTCGTGGAAGGGGCCATGGTGGTCGTGGCCGTGCAAACCAGCCCAATGCTGACTGTGGTCGAGGTGGATACTTTGGAAACCGGTCGAGTGTTGATGCCCCATCTATTGAAGATGTGGGGCAATTCCCAACCTTGGGTTCGAAGTGAGCTAAAAAAGAGAATGTCATTCCCTCCTACCTTATGATTGTTATTGCTTCAGCTGAGATATGGAAGAACCTCATATGGAACTGCTGGTTGTTTTTATAACTACAATTATCTTCCGAGTTTTAATCTTTCTCTTTTTAATAGTGTACACATCTAGATACCATCGCAGGTCTTTTCCCAACTTTCTTCTACTTTCTTGCTCGTGTTTGACTTATAGAATTTAGGCACTTTCTTTTGCAACTTTTATTTATTTCTTGGATCTTCTTTTGCCTTGTTGGGGAAAAGTTTTGTTGTGTTCGAACTTGCTTTTTTGTTATATTGCCTTCACTTTGTCCTACCCTCTTTATACCTTTTTTATCAAATCATAAATTTGCTCTCTGCTGGATTGGGCATTTCAATGAAATATTGAGCTGCATGGTTATGCAAGGTCATATGCACTTTCTTTTTTAGCTGCATGTCTATTTAAGGTTCCATGTGTTTAAACTGGTTTAAGATTTGTGTAAGAAGGGTCCATGAACTGTTCAAAACTTCAAGACTTTTTAGCTTCATGGCTTTTAACAAATACTTTCTCTTGATTCCCTTATATGTCTCCAGAGCTGGAGATGGGGGGGTTACAGTTTCGGATTGGTTTTTATTTATTATTGTTCTTGATTAGTCTAGGCTCTCGGATCTGGCTCTAACCAATCTAACACTCTAAATAATAAGTTAAAAATTCAGGGCTTCAGACACCTGAATTGGCCTTAGTTTGGTGTTGTACTTTGTTGGAAGAAACATGACTTGTTAAGATTGATTTTAGTTTAAACTGAAAAATGGAATGGTGTTTGTCGTGCGTTCTCATGCAGGCTTACACTAAATAGTAACAGTGGGTCTAGATTTGGTGGTACAAGCATGTGGTTCTCTATTATCCTGTGTGGTTTCAATGAGTTGGTATTGATTCCATAGAGTTTTTGCCATTTCCGGTATCTGGATTATGGATGTTTTAAATTGGAATGAAATTTTCTGCTTTGATTCGGTCTGACCTGGTATAGTAGATGTGTGTTCGTTGTGTATTTTATAACTATTCTGGTTTGATCTGGGAATGAAAATTGTTCAAGTAAAAAAAATTACGTGTCAGTAGCCCTTTTGATGTTTTGATGCTCGACTTGCAATATTTCAATTTCTAGTCCTTGACTTTTGTGTACCTTGTTTTAATTATACTGTAAACATGGATTATAAGGTTAAATAGTCACTATATTGAAATTAATAAGGTGTGTGATTCTTTCTATTTTTTTGGAAGAAATAGTGGTTGTGCCCCGGCGCATGCCATGCAGACGCAACAAACTGGAGAGGTAACTCGAGCACCTGCGGCTGGACCTGAGGATGGAAGTCACATACCCAGTTTCAGTAATGATCAGTGGAAAAATTTGCTCCAGTTAATGGAGAAGTTAAGCCGCCATACTCCCAGGAAAAATTATCAGGTATGGGTGCTTGTAATAATGTATGGTTATTAGACTCGGGTGCTTCGTTTCACATGACCGGGCAAACGAGCGCGTTGATAAACATACAGAAACTAAAACTGATGCCCGTATATCTACCAAACGGCGAAGTCACATCCGCCACAAGCAAAGGGACCGTGAAGATAAGCCTTGGAATTACATTGCAAAATGTTTTATTAGTTCTTGGACTGACATGCAGTTTAATTTCATTGGCCAAATTGATTGATGACCGAAATTGCAGTGTATTTTTTACTAATGATATTTGTGTGATACAGGACCTGCCTTCGAGGACGCTGATTGGAGCGGGTGAAAAACATGGAGGAGCATACTATTTTCGTAGTCTTGATTCTGTTCGTGCTTATTCAATAACGGAGGAAAGCAAAGGAAATTTGTGGCACTCCCGGTTAGGACACCTGTAACACCTGTTAATTTTATTTATAGATTTTTTTTTTTTTTTTTTTTTTTTTTAGTTTATACTTCGGGACGAAGTATCTTTCAAGGAGGGTAGAATGTGACACACCCGAAAAATTTAAAATAAAATAACTAAATTTTATTAATTAGATAAAATGTCACAAAAGGGACACTATTAATAATTAAGTAAAAACATCCTTACACTTACATATATGAAATAATGGTAATAGAACCAAATACGATTATAAGCATGAGTATAATATGTAATAAATATTATGTATGTACGTAACCCATATACTTCGTATAATTCATAGCAAACTAAATAATCAATGCAATGAGTAAGTAATACAACTACGAAACAAATAGGAGTAATAACAACAATAATTTTATAGCACAGCAGCCACCCAACAAGACTCCAATCACATAAATAATTGCATATAAACAAATTAGAAGACTATTTCCAGCAGTACAACGTTGGCCATACGCCCATACTTCTACAGTACGTTCTATTTGACATATGAACGACTAATAATTCATAGGAGTACCGAGAAGCTTGAATTGAGAAGTATAAATAGAGACGATGGGTTAAGTGACTCTGCACACAATCTACACTCATGCGTATGATATAATATACACTTACATATATACATATAATATAAATATATACATTCCGCGGCAAGCCGGCAAGTATATATATACCCAAACCAGAGCTAAAAATATCACGAACGTAGTCTATGAGAGTAGGGGAGAATAAATACGTAGTTGTTGAAAGAAAAGAAGACCGCCGGAGGGAGGAAACACTCGCCGGAGTTACGCCGGGCTGTTCGATCACTAGTGACTAACGGCAAGGAGACAGAGCTGCTGCCGCTGGATCACTGCTGCTGCCGCCGGTTCACTGCTGCCGCCGGTTAGACTACACCATCGCCGGACTTCAGTTCGTCGTCAAGGTAAGACATGCTTCGTACTAATTTGTAGCCTGCGTGTGAAGTTCTCCAACGAAGAAGAAGATCATATCTCCTTTTAATTTTAAAAGTTGAGTCATGGGTTTGGTCCGATCAGAACTAATTAAACCGATTACATTTTGTTAAGCCGGGCTAGTTTTAATAATGAGAATAATAATAACAGTGAGGATGGAGCTGATCATAATATAAATCTTAGTAAAAACGTAATAAATACATTGATAATAACAACTTGCGAGAAAAATACGAAACAATAAACTGAGATGATAATACGAAGTATTGAAGAGAAAATTAGATTAGTTTGATAATACTGACTTGGACGAATTGTTTGTTTTTAGTTGGGTTAATTACATAATATAAAATAATAAAGTGAAAGGATTGTTTATTTATAAATAATAATAATAATAATAATAATTAATAATAATAGTGATAAACGGATTGTTTATTATTTTAGAACCATTATTAGTTTAATTGGTTAATTAAAGTGTACGGATGCGTTAACTATATTAATTAAAGAGTGAATTAAGATAGATCAAATAATATAATAACATCATACAATTCGGATACATTATAATTAAGGTAATTCAAATATTAAACATATAAGTTCGGATATGTAATAACAGTAATATATAATTAATTATATGGATATTTTATGAGTACTAGATTAAACTAATAATAGTGATTCATGGTTATTAGTATATTAATACTGTTTTTAATATTCTTCGGATATGTTGTGATGTTAACTATACGTTGAATACAGTATTAAATTAACAGTAAACTAAATAAATAAATAAATAAATAAATAAATAAATAAAAGGCTAGTTGAAATTAGTAAATAAATAAGGTAGGAATTTAGATTAAGAAATAAAGAGATATGATTAATAAAAGTGATTAATTAATAATTAAATTAATTATTGAGTTAGTAAATACGTATATATAGGTGGGGGGGAATTGAATACATTATTAAAAATGGAATAAACGACTAATTATCATCTTAATTAAAAAGGTGATTATTTAGAGACCGGAATAGACGACAAGAACTAGAAGCGTCACATTCCGAGGTAAGTCACATTGCAACCAAAATTATATTTTTACCTCGTAAGTAATTATTTATTTGATATGTGTGATTATATGGTGGTATGAATATTTTATTTGTGAGCAAGTTGTAATTGTTGTGATTTTGAGATATAATGAATTACATGTATATGTGGGATATTTTGAGAACATATAAAGTTAAGAATTTAAGGATAATAATCCTTGTGATGAGACTTTGTCCAAGAGACATAAATATGGAATTTTTGGAAAGACAAGATAAAAGTCTGTTTTCATAATTGGGGCACCGCGGGAGAAATCCGTAGGTGTCGGGCCATCTTCACGTCCGTTAATGGTGAAGGAGGGTTAGGACTACTACTACTTGAATTGAGAGTCTTGAGACAAATTAAATGAATTTTGGAGGGTTCGGTAACCACCCCGAACAACTGGGCATTAGATCCCTTTTATTAAAGCAGTAGTAGTACCTATTCTCTTAAGGGTCTTTGAACCTAGAACTTAGGGAGTATATTCCATTTTGAGTAGGGAGACGTTGACGTCAGAACTACTTAGACTTCATTCTACCCATAGGGCTTGGAATCCCTTTAGGGGGTGTGCACACTTAAGGTAGGAGTCTAGATTCTAATAGAGGAGATGAGGTACCGAGAGAGATCGGGGTGACCGTACAGAACAACGGATCACTGGGCTCAAGAATCGAGATAACGCTTGAGCACCGCCCTTCTAAATGATTAGGAGAATTAGCTATAAAGCTATTTTGAGGAAAAGCAAATACTTTTGTACTTGAGAATTATTCTTTGGAATACTTATAAGAAATTTTGAGGAAATCATTGGGATTACTACTCTTTTGAAGAAAACCATTTTTGTATATATTATGTACAAATTCTTATTTTCACCAAACCTATTATTTTACGGGGTTGGGTGGGATTTACTTAGCTCTAAAGCTAATTTTTGTGTTATTTGTTTCTTTTATTTTTCTTATGTTACAGATGATGTGGTGTATGAAGATTGATGTCTTGAGAGCGCTACTAGAAGACTTTTAGAGAAGCTAGTCTCATTACAATAAACTCTGTTCGTTTACGCTATTTTAAATGTTGAACTTTAAATCTTCACTTTGGTTTCAATTATGGTGGATAGCCTTAGCATCCAGTCCGATGAGGGCTGGGTGTGGCGGTGACACGCCCTTTTCCTTGTCGTTGTTTAATTCCGCTGCAAACATTTGAAAGTTTAAATAAATAAATCAACTTTACTATTTCTTTATGTATTATTTTGGGAGGGAAATTTGGGGGTGTTACAAGTTGGTATCAGAGCCCTTTGTGCGTGGGGATTTTCAAAACGTAAAAAAAAAAAAAAATTAGGAACAATAATGTAGCTAAGAAATGGCCTTTTAGGAACGTGGTGAGGACCTTGTGAGTATTAGTTTTATGCTATATATTATGTGAAAAGTTGAGAATTATGGGCCCATATGTGAAATGGAATTCCCAAGTGTTGAAGGGAATGCCTCATAAGGAAAAATTCCAAGGTGGTCAAGGTATGTACGTTATGTGCAAAAATATTGAGATATGAAATGTGAATCCTATGTTTGAATATGACATAATGAAGTTTTGCACCTATTTGTATAATGACTTTATCGCCTATGGAATCCTTAGTTCTAGGATCCTTAAGGAAAGTAGGGAAAATTTCCTTTACTAATTCGAGTTATTATTATGGAGACACCATGCCACCAAGGAGAGATCCGAATGCCGTCCCTACCAATGCTGAGTTGGCGCAAGCTCTCACGCAGCTCACTCAGACAATCAATGCGGCGTTTCAGAACCAACCCAACAGCGGCAATAACATGGAAAGTCGTGTAGCGGCACGAAACCCGCCAAACTTCCTTGGGCAAGAGGATCCAGTCCTTCTTGAGAATTGGATACGCACCTTCGACAAGCTATTTGATGTGATCAATTGCCCGGCAGAACAACGAATTAACATTGCCGTTTATTATCTGCATGGAGAAGCAGATAAATGGTGGGCTCATGTGGGAGCAGGGTTGAGCGCACAACCGGACTTCACTTGGGAACGGTTTAAGCGTGCACTGCGAAAAAGGTTTTACCCGCCACACGTGCAAGCAGAAAATTATGACAAGTTCCTACATTTGAAGCAGGGCGAAATGACAGTGCAAGAGTATCACAGTCAATTTGTCACGCTTTCAGAGTTTGCAACATCACTTGTACCCGATGAGGAGAGCAAAATCGAAAAGTTCATCGGAGGACTAAATTTCGACACACAGAAGATCGTGACTGTGCAAGAATGGCAAACATTAGATGATGTCTATTACAAAGCTGCAAAGCACTATCGAGTAATACAACTTCAGCGAGAAGTCCACAAGAAAAGAAAGCACGAAGAGGAGAATAGGCAAGGAGAAAAGAGGGTCAGGGTTCATCATCATGCAGAACCGACACACCATCGCCCGAGGGATGAAAGAAGGTTCCAAGGTCATGACCAGAGACGTGACCGACGAAACATGGTGGAGAGGCATTTCAACTGCACGAAATGCAAGAAAGACCACCCAGGGGTGGACTGTGCTGGCAACAGAGTGAAATGCTTCACATGTGGGAAAATGGGCCATCGGGCTTTTGAATGCTGGGATAATGTAGGAAGGGGTCCACAGAACCAGGGACCTAACCGTGGAGGTGGGAGTCAAGGGGGCGGAAACAGTTCAGGAGCTGAGAACCGGGGCAACAACAACCCGGGAAATCAAGTAGGAAATGGTAACCGAGGCCAAAATCAGAACCAGGGAAGAGGCAACAACAACAACAATAACGCTCCAAATCAGGGCCGAATTTATGTAATGAATCAGGCTCAAGCCCGAGCACATGATGTGGTTTCAGGTATCATTCATGTTAATACCACTCCTGCTTATGTTCTATTTGATTCAGGTGCTTCTCACAGTTTTATCTCTTCTAAATTTGTTGAGAAGTTAAAGATAGAACCTGCAGCTAGCATAGAGTTGAATGTAAAAACAGCAAACAATAGTGTTGTAGCCTGTAGAAATGTATACATGGATGTACCCATAGTTATAACCGACGTCAGCCTACCTGGGAATTTGGTGCAATTCGACCTCGAAGGCATTGACGTGGTGCTGGGCATGGATTGGCTTGGGAGGTACAAGGCGAAGATCTTATGCAATGAGCAGAAGGTTTCCATGAAGAGCCCATGTGGGAAGCGGGTATCTTTCAAAGCAACGGTGGACAAACCCGGAGTCAAGTTGATGACAATGCGGCAGATGAGGAGGTGCATCCGGAAGGGATGCGAGGCGTACCTATGCATGATGAGAGACAACCATGAAGAAGAACAGACAATTGATCAGATTCCGGTGGTCAATGAATTTCCTGATGTGTTTCCGGAAGAGATTCCGGGGATGCCTCCGGAAAGGGAGGTTGAGTTTTCCATTGACTTAATGCCGGGGACTACACCAATTTCCAAGGCACCGTACAGGATGGCTCCGAAGGAGATGCAAGAACTGAAAGAACAACTTGAAGAACTGCTCGAGAAGGGATACATCAAGCCGAGCATTTCACCTTGGGGCGCTCCGGTCTTGTTTGTGAAGAAGAAAGACGGTAGCTTGAGGTTATGTATTGACTACCGAGAGCTGAACCGTGTTACTATCAAGAACCGATACCCTTTACCCCGTATCGATGACCTGTTCGATCAACTGAAGGGGGCAGGCATATTTTCCAAGATTGACCTTCGGTCTGGCTACCACCAAGTGAGGATAGCGGAGAAGGATATACCGAAGACTGCATTTCGTACGAGGTATGGGCACTATGAGTTCACCGTGATGCCATTTGGCTTGACCAATGCACCAGCGGTATTCATGGACCTAATGAACCGTATATTTCGCCCCTATCTGGATACATTTGTGGTGGTATTCATAGATGATATCTTGGTGTACTCGAAGAATCAGCAGGATCATGATAAGCATCTGAGACTTGTTTTGCAGACTTTGAGGGAGCATCAACTCTACGCCAAACTTTCCAAGTGTGACTTTTGGAAGGACCGAGTAGCATTTTTTGGGTCACATTATCACTCGAGATGGAGTGACTGTAGACCCGTCAAAAATTGAAGCAGTAACCGAGTGGCGGGCACCTACCACTGTCATGGAAGTACGAAGTTTCCTTGGGTTGGCAGGATACTATAGGAGATTTGTCAAAGACTTCTCCAAGATAGTTAGACCATTGACCAATTTGACGAAGAAGACCACAAAGTTCCAGTGGACGGAAGATTGTGAAAAAGCCTTCCAGGAGTTGAAGAGGAGACTGACAACTGCACCAGTACTAACACTTCCATCAGGAACTGAAGGATTTGAAATATATTGTGATGCATCCAAGAATGGTCTGGGCTGCGTACTAATGCAGAATGGGAAGGTAGTAGCTTATGCATCCCGACAACTAAGGCTGCACGAAGTTAACTATCCAACCCATGACCTGGAGTTAGCTGCAGTAGTGTTTGCGTTAAAGATATGGAGGCATTATCTGTATGGGCCGCCGTGCAAGGTATATACTGATCACAAAAGTCTTAAGTACATCTTCACACAAAAAGAGCTTAATATGAGGCAAAGAAGGTGGTTAGAGCTTGTCAAAGACTATGATCTTGAAATCCTATACCATGAAGGGAAGGCTAACGTCGTAGCCGATGCATTAAGCCGGAAATCTGAACATACGAGCCGAGCAACGTGGATACTAGCAGACGAGTTGTGTCGGGAACTCCAAAGGCTAAACATAGAAGTGAAAGAATACGGTGAAGTAGAGAACGAGGTCCAGTTGTACACTATGACCATCTTACCCTCTATCTTCGAAGAAATCAAAGCTGGACAACCAGGAGATGTAAAGCTGGAACGAGTCAAAGCCGGGATGAAAGATGGAGTAAATGGTCCATTTCAGTTGCATGGAGACGGGAGTATCCGATACAAAGAACGGTGGTGTGTTCCCATGAAGTGCGAACACCTCAAAAAGCAAATCATGGAAGAAGGACACAATACACCCTATTCGGTACATCCCGGAGGTGATAAACTATACAAAGACTTAAAGAAAATTTTCTGGTGGCCAAAGATGAAGAAAGAAGTGGCCGAGTTCGTAGCACGATGTCTGAACTGTCAGAAGGTCAAAGCTGAGAGATGCAAACCCAAAGGACTCGTACAACCTTTGGAGATACCAATATGGAAGTGGGACTCAATCTCGATGGACTTTGTTGGGGGTTTGCCTTTAACAAAGTCTGGGAAAGATAAGATCTGGGTAATAGTTGATAGACTGACCAAAACTACGAGATTCATTCCCATGAACGAAACTTGGAGTATGGATAAGCTAGCAAGAGCCTACATAAAAAACGTGGTCAAGTACCATGGAGTTCCACAAGACATCGTATCTGACCGAGACTCTAGATTCTTATCTCAATTCTGGAAGGAATTACAGGCTGCCATGGGGACAAAACTAAAGCTGAGTACTGCGTTTCATCCAACAACTGATGGTCAAACAGAAAGAACGATCCAAACATTGGAGGACATGTTAAGGGCATGTGTGCTAGACCTACAAGGGGCATGGGACGAACACTTAGACTTGATAGAGTTTTCGTACAATAATAGCTACCACGCCAGTATCAAAATGGCCCCGTACGAGGCTCTATACGGTCAAAAGTGTAGAAGTCCACTATGCTGGAATGATATGACAGACCAGGTAGTGTTAGGGCCAGAGTACTTACAAGACACCATAGAAAAGATCCAGCTGATTCAAGCCAGGATGAAAGCTGCACAAGATCGTCAGAAGTCTTATGCAGACCTAGGAAGAAAACCAGCTGAATTCGAAGTAGGAGAGAAAGTTCTACTCAAAGTCTCCCCAACGAAGGGAGTAATGAGATTCGGAAAGAAGGGAAAGTTGAGCCCAAGGTTCATTGGCCCATATGATATCCTCGAGCGAGTGGGACGAGTGGCATACCGCTTAGCTCTACCGACAGATTTGGCTAAGGTAAGACATACCTTAAAACCTCTCGATGGTGAAATACCCTAGTAAATACCTGACAAACACTAACATGTGATGTACTTAGGTACACAACGTTTTCCATATTTCACAATTGAAGAAGTATGTCCACGATGAATCGCATGTCCTTAACCCTGAGGTACGGATAGTGATCTTAAGATATTTGAAATTAAACTCGACACGTCTAACGTCAACTCTATTAGGTGGTCGAGTTGGACGAAACCTTGACTTACGAGGAAAGGCCTATTCAGATTCTTGACACCAAAACTCGCGAAACTAGGAGAAAAGTAGTTAAAATGGTAAAAGTTTTGTGGTCTAACCACTTGGCTGAAAACGCTACTTGGGAGTCCGAGGACGATATGCGCAATCGCTATCCGGAATTGTTTGGTTAAGGTAATGTTTTAGTTACGGGGACGTAACCTCATTTTAAGAGGGGTAGAATGTAACACCTGTTAATTTTATTTATAGATTTTTTTTTTTTTTTTTTTAGTTTATACTTCGGGACGAAGTATCTTTCAAGGAGGGTAGAATGTGACACACCCGAAAAATTTAAAATAAAATAACTAAATTTTATTAATTAGATAAAATGTCACAAAAGGGACACTATTAATAATTAAGTAAAAACATCCTTACACTTACATATATGAAATAATGGTAATAGAACCAAATACGATTATAAGCATGAGTATAATATGTAATAAATATTATGTATGTACGTAACCCATATACTTCGTATAATTCATAGCAAACTAAATAATCAATGCAATGAGTAAGTAATACAACTACGAAACAAATAGGAGTAATAACAACAATAATTTTATAGCACAGCAGCCACCCAACAAGACTCCAATCACATAAATAATTGCATATAAACAAATTAGAAGACTATTTCCAGCAGTACAACGTTGGCCATACGCCCATACTTCTACAGTACGTTCTATTTGACATATGAACGGCTAATAATTCATAGGAGTACCGAGAAGCTTGAATTGAGAAGTATAAATAGAGACGATGGGTTAAGTGACTCTGCACACAATCTACACTCATGCGTATGATATAATATACACTTACATATATACATATAATATAAATATATACATTCCGCGGCAAGCCGGCAAGTATATATATACCCAAACCAGAGCTAAAAATATCACGAACGTAGTCTATGAGAGTAGGGGAGAATAAATACGTAGTTGTTGAAAGAAAAGAAGACCGCCGGAGGGAGGAAACACTCGCCGGAGTTACGCCGGGCTGTTCGATCACTAGTGACTAACGGCAAGGAGACAGAGCTGCTGCCGCTGGATCACTGCTGCTGCCGCCGGTTCACTGCTGCCGCCGGTTAGACTACACCATCGCCGGACTTCAGTTCGTCGTCAAGGTAAGACATGCTTCGTACTAATTTGTAGCCTGCGTGTGAAGTTCTCCAACGAAGAAGAAGATCATATCTCCTTTTAATTTTAAAAGTTGAGTCATGGGTTTGGTCCGATCAGAACTAATTAAACCGATTACATTTTGTTAAGCCGGGCTAGTTTTAATAATGAGAATAATAATAACAGTGAGGATGGAGCTGATCATAATATAAATCTTAGTAAAAACGTAATAAATACATTGATAATAACAACTTGCGAGAAAAATACGAAACAATAAACTGAGATGATAATACGAAGTATTGAAGAGAAAATTAGATTAGTTTGATAATACTGACTTGGACGAATTGTTTGTTTTTAGTTGGGTTAATTACATAATATAAAATAATAAAGTGAAAGGATTGTTTATTTATAAATAATAATAATAATAATAATTAATAATAATAGTGATAAACGGATTGTTTATTATTTTAGAACCATTATTAGTTTAATTGGTTAATTAAAGTGTACGGATGCGTTAACTATATTAATTAAAGAGTGAATTAAGATAGATCAAATAATATAATAACATCATACAATTCGGATACATTATAATTAAGGTAATTCAAATATTAAACATATAAGTTCGGATATGTAATAACAGTAATATATAATTAATTATATGGATATTTTATGAGTACTAGATTAAACTAATAATAGTGATTCATGGTTATTAGTATATTAATACTGTTTTTAATATTCTTCGGATATGTTGTGATGTTAACTATACGTTGAATACAGTATTAAATTAACAGTAAACTAAATAAATAAATAAATAAATAAATAAATAAATAAATAAAAGGCTAGTTGAAATTAGTAAATAAATAAGGTAGGAATTTAGATTAAGAAATAAAGAGATATGATTAATAAAAGTGATTAATTAATAATTAAATTAATTATTGAGTTAGTAAATACGTATATATAGGTGGGGGGGAATTGAATACATTATTAAAAATGGAATAAACGACTAATTATCATCTTAATTAAAAAGGTGATTATTTAGAGACCGGAATAGACGACAAGAACTAGAAGCGTCACATTCCGAGGTAAGTCACATTGCAACCAAAATTATATTTTTACCTCGTAAGTAATTATTTATTTGATATGTGTGATTATATGGTGGTATGAATATTTTATTTGTGAGCAAGTTGTAATTGTTGTGATTTTGAGATATAATGAATTACATGTATATGTGGGATATTTTGAGAACATATAAAGTTAAGAATTTAAGGATAATAATCCTTGTGATGAGACTTTGTCCAAGAGACATAAATATGGAATTTTTGGAAAGACAAGATAAAAGTCTGTTTTCATAATTGGGGCACCGCGGGAGAAATCCGTAGGTGTCGGGCCATCTTCACGTCCGTTAATGGTGAAGGAGGGTTAGGACTACTACTACTTGAATTGAGAGTCTTGAGACAAATTAAATGAATTTTGGAGGGTTCGGTAACCACCCCGAACAACTGGGCATTAGATCCCTTTTATTAAAGCAGTAGTAGTACCTATTCTCTTAAGGGTCTTTGAACCTAGAACTTAGGGAGTATATTCCATTTTGAGTAGGGAGACGTTGACGTCAGAACTACTTAGACTTCATTCTACCCATAGGGCTTGGAATCCCTTTAGGGGGTGTGCACACTTAAGGTAGGAGTCTAGATTCTAATAGAGGAGATGAGGTACCGAGAGAGATCGGGGTGACCGTACAGAACAACGGATCACTGGGCTCAAGAATCGAGATAACGCTTGAGCACCGCCCTTCTAAATGATTAGGAGAATTAGCTATAAAGCTATTTTGAGGAAAAGCAAATACTTTTGTACTTGAGAATTATTCTTTGGAATACTTATAAGAAATTTTGAGGAAATCATTGGGATTACTACTCTTTTGAAGAAAACCATTTTTGTATATATTATGTACAAATTCTTATTTTCACCAAACCTATTATTTTACGGGGTTGGGTGGGATTTACTTAGCTCTAAAGCTAATTTTTGTGTTATTTGTTTCTTTTATTTTTCTTATGTTACAGATGATGTGGTGTATGAAGATTGATGTCTTGAGAGCGCTACTAGAAGACTTTTAGAGAAGCTAGTCTCATTACAATAAACTCTGTTCGTTTACGCTATTTTAAATGTTGAACTTTAAATCTTCACTTTGGTTTCAATTATGGTGGATAGCCTTAGCATCCAGTCCGATGAGGGCTGGGTGTGGCGGTGACACGCCCTTTTCCTTGTCGTTGTTTAATTCCGCTGCAAACATTTGAAAGTTTAAATAAATAAATCAACTTTACTATTTCTTTATGTATTATTTTGGGAGGGAAATTTGGGGGTGTTACAACACCCATCAGTCAAAGTTTTACGTTCTGTTTATTACTTTGAATAATTCTATGTTGGACAATGGTTTGAATAAAAGTTGTGGCGCATGCTTGCGTGGGAAAAAGACTCGAGATATTTTTCATATTAGTGAATCCAAAGCTTTTACCATTTTTGATTTATTGCATTGTGATGTGTGGGGTCCATACCGTTTTCCTGCGTCTTGTGGTGCTCGATATTTCCTGACTATAGTTGATGATTATTCACGCGCTGTGTGGTTTTTTTATGAAAGAAAAGAGTGAGGTGTCCCGAATACTTAAACAATTTATTGCATTGGTGGACAGACAATTTAACAAAAGAGTGAAAATCGTTAGGAGTGATAACGGGACAAAGTTTCTATGTTTGAAAAATTATTTTTTAGATCATGGAATTATTTTTCAAACAACTTGTGTTTATACTCCGCAACAAAATGGAAGGGTTGAGTGTAAACACAGGCATATTTTAAATAAAGCCCGGACTCTTCGTTTTCATGCTCACCTACCGATTGATTTTTGGGGGGAATGTGTATTGATGACATGTTATCTTATTAATCGTTTTCCATCTCCGGTGTTGGAATATAAGAGCCCCTATGAATTATTGTATAACAAGCTACCCAACTATGATCATCTCCGGGTTTTCGGTTGACTTTGTTATGCACGAGTACATGGGAATAATGGGGATAAATTTGCTCAACAGGGAGTGAAGTGCGTTTTTTTTGGGTATCCTTCTTACTCTCAAAAGGGATGGAAATTGTATAATCTTGAAACTCAACAATTTTTTTGTTTCAAGAGATGTTACATTTATTGAGACCCAATTTCCCTTTGCTGATCCAATTGTGGAACCGGACGTTTGCAATGATACGACCAGACCGTTGATACAACCTCCAGATTCTTTTATTGGAATTGACCATGATGACACGCATGCATCTGGGTATGGTGATCAAGGCAGCATGCAGACAAGCTTGAATAATTCGCATAATGGGATGCATGGTGGTATGATGACCTCTCATGCATCATCCACCTCATCTCATGGCGCAGGACACTATGAGGATACAGGAAGTGACACGGCTGCTTCTGATTCCACGTCAGGGTCTCGGGAAAACAGTGGCACCTCAACTCAACCACATGGAGATTTTGTACGTCGGGGGACACGTCCGAAACAAAAATCGGAGTGGCATAAAGACTATATGGTACAAATTAATACTATGAAAATAGATACTCCTCTGGTTGCCCACTCGTCTCCATCGGTTGAATCAGGTAATCCGTATCCCTTATCTCGTTATGTAAATTATAACTGTTTTTCGGTGCAGCATCGTGCTTTTAATGCAGCAATTTCAGCCACCCGAGAATCCAATACTTTTCGTGAGACGGTCATTGATCCAAATTGGCGTACTGCTATGCAACATGAGATCGATGCGTTGGAGTGCACAGGTACGTGACAAGTCCAGGAACTCCCTCTTGGCAAGACACCTATTTATTGTAAATGGGTGTATAAAATAAAATACCGGAGTGATGGAAGTATTGATCGCTACAAAGCCAGACTTGTAGTTTGTGGTAACCGCCAGGTACATGGAATTGACTATGACGAGACTTTTGCTCCCATTGCCAAAATGGTCACAGTGCGTACTATTTTGGCAATTGCTGCTTCGCGAGGATGGGAAACGCATCAAATGGACGTCGACAATGCCTTCTTGCATGGAGATTTGCAGGAGGAGGTATACATGTATTTGCCTCCCGGTTATTCCTCCTCTAAACCGGGACAGGTGTGTAAGTTATTACGGTCTCTTTATGGGCTTCGTCAAGCCCCACGTTGTTGGTTTTCCAAATTCACCGATACACTTCTTGTTTATGAGTTTTCACAGTCTCATGCTGATTTATTGTTTGTTCACTCTCCACCGAGGTGGACGCCTATTATGCATACTTGTGTATGTTGATGATTTGTTCATTAGTGGAAGCAGTCGCGAGATGATTTCTATTTTTAAATCTTATCTAGCTCGTACCTTTCCGGTCAAAGATTTGGGTTTTTTGAAATATATTTTCTTGGCCTAGAAATTGCACGGAGTCTGCATGGTATTTTTTTGTGCCAACGAAAATATGTACTGGATATTTTGTTTGAGACAGGTCTCATAGGAGCAAAACCCTTTACCGTTCCTATGTCCCAAAATCATGGGCTTCAATCTGATGATAGTCCATTATTTTCGGACCCTTAAAAATATCAGCGGTTGGTTGGCAAACTTATTTATCTTACGCTCACACGACTGGATATAAACTACTATGTCCATATACTTTCTCAATTTATGCAAGCACCTCGGGAGGCGCACTGGAACGCTGTTTTACAAGTACCACGTTATCTGAAGGGACACCCAGGCCAAGACATACTGTTTCGACACAACTCTCCTCTTGTCCTTCTTGGCTATTGTGATTCTGATTGGGCCACTTGTCCCAATACACGGCGTTCTGTCACCGGATATTTTGTGACACTTGACGGTTCTCCTATTTCGTGGCGTACAAACAAGCAAGCTACGGTCTCTCGCTCTTCTGTTGAGGCCGAGTATCGCTCCATGGCAACACTTACTTGTGAACTTTTGTGGTTACGAAGCCTATTTTCTACTCTACGAATCAAGCTTCCACCACTCAAGCTCTTTTGTGATAACAAGGCAGCTCTGCATATTGCTTCCAATCCTGTCTTTCATGAGCACACCAAGCACATCGAGCTTGACTGTCACTTTATTCGTGATCACGTGAAGTCTGGTGCTATTAGTCCATCCTACATGCCTACTACGAAGCAATTGGCGGATATTTTTACTAAAGTTTTGGGAACGTCTCAATTTCATCATCTTCTTGTCAAGATGGGCATTTTTGATCCCCATGCTCCATCTTGAGGGGGGTGTTAGCATTATTATTGAACGTCCGCATGCATAATTATTTGTTACATAATTATATTATTTATTTTGACCTTATCTTTTGTAACAAGCTAAACATGCTTGGCTTACGTATAGGGATAAAGTTCTCTTTTGTGGAACCTACCTTGCTGTAGATAGAGTTCAGAACGTGTATATAGCTAACCTTTTGTAAAGCTGAAAACATGATCGTATAATACACGAAGTTACGATCTACTCTATTCTTAATTCCTCTTGATATCTTTAGAAAACATAAAAACCTATTTGTATTCCACTATTAATTTGCTACTTAACCTATTTTATTACACGTTTTTTTGTAAAAAAACATTTGGGTGCCGTTTTTTTCCGTTTAAAAAAGAACAGCCTAACTATTCGTTTAAAACGAGTTTTTTTGACAAAAAAAAACGGATACGTGTTTTATATGCGTTTAAGCTAACTATGGTTGATGTAAATGAAAGATGATCTTGAGAATGTAGTGTGAGTGGAGAGTCGTGCTACTTGTACATATTTTGTGTATACATGTCTAGTTGCTTGCTTGTATACACAGACAATTTTTAAACAAAATGTACGCAAACAATTAAGAGATATATACACAAATGTGAACAAATAATATGGACAAATGGCTACATCAATTTTTATTTATTTATATTTACGGACACCCTTTTTATCAACGTACAACTGTAACAGTCAAAAGGTCATCGTGGCGGGCTGGCGGCTAGTATTTCTACCGCTTTTCCGTCGTCCCCAACCCGCGGAAACAAGTCAAACCCCACCGGCCACCATCCACCATTCAACGGTTTCTACTCCCCTTCCTATCGCAGTCCCCACCAAAACTACCGACGATGTACCGCTCGTCAAGCTCCGGTCGAGTCTCCGATGAGTTCTTTCCCTACCCCGTAACATCTCCAACGCCCGCCTTCTCATCTCCGAATCCAAAATCCACGTCTTCCGGCGCACTGGATGAGCTGCCGTCGTACCATCCCCAATCCCAGGTCGCTAAGAAGGACCGGAGCCGTCTCAGATTTGCGGAGAACGCCATTCACCTCATCCCACTTGTACTAGTACTCTCTGCTATTATATTGTGGTTTTTCTCCAGTCCAGGTAAACAATCACAAATATCAATACCGCACGTGATTTATTTCCAAGATGGATCGTATTGATAATGAATTTCATGTGCGATGTGTTTGTTTACGTCTCTTTATATATGTGCGCGCGTGGTAGAATTTTCATGGATCTGGGTACAGCAATTGGAAATCGTTAAATATTCTGTGAACTGTATGATGAAATGCCAGTTTCTCTGCAATATCTGCTAGAAGAGACTAGGTTTCTTGTGAATTACTCCGTAGTACATCTTTGTTGCTCTTGAATTATTCGTTTTAAAGAAGTTAGCTTCACCATGGTCAAGTAGCTCTAATGGCATGACTGGAATATATAAGAATATACTCTTAAATGTTTAAGATGAACAAAAATTTGATCGACATGGCAAGGGAGTAGGGACTGAGCTAAGCTGTTTACTGAAGCTTTATTATGGATCTCTGTGTCCTATTTCTTACATGGAGAAATAAGAAAACTAGCAAAGCAATAAATATTGAATAAAAAATTGGTCATTTTCCATGATTTGCTGAATTTCCTTGCAATTTAAATTATGTAATGGATATGAATATGTACAATACCTCAACTCATTTGCTGGCCAATTTTATTTTCCATGCATGTCAAATAACCTATAATGATTAATGACCACAGTTTTAGAATTTTCATTTTGTTGTTCCTTTTAATAAAGGTTACCATTGGAAGGGCATCCAGAGTAAAACATTGTCTCAATGCTTTTTGCATGAAATTGTAGTGTTAATTAATTTTATATAATTAATTGGCACAATAGCTTAATGACACTGACCCCTACTAGTTAGATTAGGGTGCTGATGCAGTGATGCTGATGGTTACAATAGATAGAACAGGGTTACAGGGATGGGGCAAACAATAAGATCAGATATTCAGATGACAGTGTACTGCTGCAAACTATGTGTTCCTTCTTTTACTTCTTAACTTGGCTTGTATACTCCCAGGCCCCAGCAGTTCACTACCCTTGGCCTTAGCGGCTTAGCTTATCCTCTACTACATGTGGTAATGGCGAGCAAAAAAGAGAAATGATCATTTAATATTTTGCTTTAACAAACAAGGAGGTTGAAATGGAACTATAAATGGAAGTTCAGGTAGCTTATTTGTAAAAAAGGGGGGGAAAGTACGGAAAAGGTACTTGTGGTTGGGCCCGTTTTCAGATAGGGTCATGTGTTTCATTTTTTATCAAAGTGGTCCATGTGTTTGAATTCCGTTATCACAAGAGGGTCACGCCGTTAAAAACGTCTGAAAAAGACCGATAAAAATAACTCCGATTTTCAAAAGTGCCCGAAAAATTAAAAGAAAAATATCTGAAGGTGCACCTCAATAAGACGACCGCTAGGCCATCTTTCTTTTTTGTTTTTAGCCACCCTTGTCACCGGAAAGTCTACCGGAAAAGTGATATTAGCAAAATCATTTTTAAAAAATAATTCAAACAAATTTGAAAAAATCCAAAAGCGAAGGTGGTTTGGACTTTGGAGGTCATCTTGACAAGGCGCACCTTTCGGTATTTTTCTTTTAATTTTCCGGGCACTTTTGAAAATCGGAGTTACTTTTAACGGTCTTTTTCAGACGTTTTTAACGGTGTGACCCTCTTGTGATAACGGAATTCAAACACATGAACCACTTTGATAAAGAATGAAACACATGACCCTATCTGAAAACAGGCCTAATCACAAGTACCTTTTCCTTACTTTTCCAAAAAAAAAAAACTACTTGAAAACGCTTATTAAATTGGCTCAAGCTTTTCAAGTAAGAGATTGGGAAAAAAGAAGAATCGAATTTTGTTCTTACTGTGATTATACAATAGTAGTACTAGTTTAAACTTTCCATTGTAACAAAAGAAGAAAAAGAAGTAAAATCTTTCAATTACTAACCATCCAATGATTCAAAGATTGATGATAAAGGCCAATTGCTATGTATAATGTATGACAAAACAAGTTTGTAATTGATAAAGTCTGCTAATAGCTTAAAAGTTAATCTCTAAATTATACTTGATAGCTTATAAGTCAGCTGATCTCATTTATTTGTCATCATCATTACCCGTGCCGCAAAGGCTCCCACCAACAGTGGGGGGATGTACACAGCCTTACCTTTGTACTAAAGTCTTACCCATGTACCTACGGTGGAGTAAGCTGATTGTAAAATTTAGTTTAGAAAAACAAGTTTATAATTGACAAAGTCAGCTGATAGCTTATAAGTTGAGAGAAATTTCCCAAAATAAAAGTAAAAGCAAGTTGGTTTTCCTAAATAGGAGTACTACCATGTATTTTCCCTAAATAGGGTGAAATACTGCCATACTGAAATAATACTGTCATTTTATGCCATACTGAAATAATATTGTCATATTATGCCTTAATCACATATTAATATGGCAGTATGAATGTCACAATATGACAACATGGTTTCAGGATGGTAATGCTCATACTATTTAAGAAAAACATTATGTTCATATTTAGGGAAACCACCTTGTTTTCAAATCTATGTAGTGCAATTTCTTATAAGTAAATCTCTAATTTGTAGCTGGTAAGTCAGCTGATCTTATATATTTCATATTTATTTTCATTTACCCCAGTGCCGCAAAGGCTCCCACCTATGGTGGGGTAAGGGGGGTCGGTTGTACACAGTCTTACCCCTATACTAAAGCACAAAGAGACTGTTTCCGGAAGACCCATAGTGAAAATCGCGTCCAAAATTGAATGGACGGACTGCTGCTTCATAACAAAGAAGCGCAGACAGTTTCGTGAGCCATTTTGCTTTATTCCATCGTATTCTCAAGCCAAAAAACAATGAATCTTTGGCTCCATTGCAAATGATGGATGAAGCTGATCTTATATATTGTTTGGTAAAAATTAGCTAAGAAGTTTGTTTAGAGCTGTCAATAAATTGACATAATAGCATAGGTTTACAATACATTTAAAAACAAAAATGAGGTAACAAACTATGAAATTAAAATCATTAGCTCATTTGAAAAACCTACTCAATGAAACTTACTCCGTATTAAATAAATTGGCTCATCCAAATGGATCTTTTTTTGAAAAGATTTCTTAGAAAAGCTACTGAGTAATAATGATCTTATAAGCTATCTTATGGCACGCTAAACATAGTCAAAGTGCTAATGGCATTTCGTAGCACCCATTATTGGACAAGTGCAACTAATGGCATAGCATCCTGATTTATTCAAGATGACAATGTACAATTTAGTAATGCTTTACCAGTTAGTTTACAATTTACCACAACTCACCAAAACCTGAAGCCAATCCTCTTTCACCAACTACTTGCTCCATGCATCACGTTCTTTATGTATTTGCTTTACTAATATAGGATGGCCATATTACCCATATACAATTGGTCTATTAGTCCTCGAGTGGATTGAGTGCACTCGTGTATCCCAAATTTACAAGGATGGTCATACTACAATTTTTCCATAATACAGGATGGCCATGCTACAAATTTTCTTACTAGGCACCGGCCCAATCCAAATTTGAAAAAGCGTATAGTTATGTGCAAAAAATAGTTATGTAAAAACATGAGGAAAAAATCTTTATACCGGCCCACCCTAATATTTGTTTTGGCTACACAAACGATTGGGAGATTATAAGGTCCACATTCACTTGATCTTTGATAAATGCACTTGTTTCAAAGTTCTTACAGAGTATTATTTTATTCACAATTTATTGTATACAAGATTACTCTTATACTTCGTGCTACATTGAAACAGACACTGTTGAGAAATTGTGTTGGTCAGTCTACAAGTTTATTTCAGCTACTAAGACGTCTAAACTTTGAATGTGTACAGCATTTAGGGTTAAATTTTCAGGACCTCGTTTTTGAACCATTATTTTGATGCCAAGGCTTTTGAGATTATGCATTTTTATCTCTTATTATTACTACAGTGCAAATGCTGAGCAAAGGTGATTCCAATGTTGTCAGAGTCAACACTCCAGTGATCTATAGTAAAATTGGGGCTGGACGGCTATGATCAAACTTATCAATCCAAGACCCAACCCGCAGTCAGTTGGGTAACCCCATGGTATACACAATTCATATGAAATGTACATTGCACTCCATAATGTTACTTATTATTCATGATTGATGATGTAATTTCATGGAGATGATGTATGAATTCAATTTTTCATCTCGCAGACAAGGACTCATTTTGATGGACTCTAGGATCATTGATCCATATAAAGTGATCATTCTTGCATATAGTATTACACCCGCAATCCCTACTCATCTATTGAAGCTTTGGTTTATGAAAGAAAGCGTTCATAAATCCATATGTTGATGTAATTTTCATTATTTTGGATTTGGAGTACAAAGTGCATCTTGTTGGGAATAATGGTTCTGAAATACTGTCACGTAAATGGCCCGGTCTCTCATGCTCTTATTAAGAATGAATGAAAGACATCTAGAACCCGACCCCGGGACCATGACTACTTTTTATAATAGTTAGTAGCCGTTTGTTAGAGACTTAGAGTCATGTTATTTTAATTTTAGTGTCATATTTATACTTTATTTACCAAACATTGATTTTTTAACTGGAAAATGTATTTGTATTTAAACGTTTTTGTACACGCATTCTAGTTGTCTTTGCACATGGACAATTATTACAAAAGCCACATAATTTTTTTAAAGAAAAGCAAGCAGGTGCCTGTGTTACGTCACTTGCGTGCACACTCCCTGGCACACACGAAGAACTCTTTTTTTTTTTTGCATTCAGAACTCTTCTTAATTAGTTAATTATGCATGCCAGATGAGAATAATTAGAAAGAACAAAGTTAGATGTACTTAGAGTGAAGCAATTGAAGTTGTTGAAGATATCTAATTTATTTTTTCCCCTATATCTATCTTTAGAGGAATGATCCTGTCCAGCCGGAGGGACAGGATCTTCCGTCTGGCCGCTGCCGTTTGGGGTGGTTTCCGGTGGAGTTTTTTGATGAAATTTTTATGGAATGTTCCTCATTAAGTCTAGTTTATCCACAAAAAAATTTCAACTAAAAATTCGATTGGGAAGACAGTCAAATAATTTTTTGAAGATAATTGCGCCAAATTAAACATATAAAACGCAGTTATGTTTCAAAAAATTATTTGACTGTCTTCCCGATTGAATTTTTAGCTTAAATTTTTTGTGGATAAACTAGACTTGATGAGGAACATTCCATAAAAAACTCCACCGGGAACCGCCCCAAACGGCGGCGGCCGGACGGAGGATCCTGTCCCTCCGGGTGGACAGGATCTTTTCCGTCTATCTTTATTTTATCAGTGTTCATATTTTCATTTTTAAAGCAAATTCAATTAAGTCTTTTCAGTACTGTTTTCACCCATTTAAGCATATTTAACCATTTTAAGTATTGTCAAATGAGCTAACATTCTAACAAGGTGTATATTTGATAACATATACGGAGAATATAAAAATCACTGATGACGTATTGGTGTAATAAAAATGGTATAGAAAAATTAGAAGCGTATAGAAAATGAGCAGTGATACTTTAACAGTATAAGAATTAGAAGCGTTTTTTAAAAATATTAGACGGTTTGCGAATCGTGTTGCTCATGAGTTTAATTAAGGGTCTGTTTGCAACAGCTTTTGCTTTTAAAAAAGTGTTTTTTTTAATGAAATGGGGAGAAGTGATTAAATAAAAGTTGATAGTATTTGAGAAAAAAGTGATTTTGAAAAGTAAAAATGGGTAATGTTTGGTAAAATAAGTGCTTTTTGTGTAATAAAAAAAAGTAAAAGCACTTTTGACGCGGAAGCCGAGAAAAATAAAAGTTGTAGTGTTTGGGAAAATAAGTGTTTTTTAAAGTCAAAAAGCTGAGAAGTACTTTTTTAAAAGCAGTTGCAAACCAACCTTAAGAGTTTTAGTAGCATATATGTTACTTTTATTAGACAGTTTGCGAATCGTGTTGCTCATGAGCTTGCTCGGGCATTCGTTTCAAGCATGGTTGTTGAATTCTCCTATATGTATTTTGCGGGCCTTGAACCACAATTTGATTAATATTAATTAAGCTTTACTTGCTGCAAAAAAAATTATAAAATCTGCAGAGACAAAATAAGTCTCCACTAAATACGGTGTAATGCATTTATTAGCAAATATGCACATGTCATTATTCTTTCATTAGATCACAGCCTTGATGTGATAATCGACTTTTGGGCCTTTGGCCATTTTTTCAATACTTCCCTACATTATAAAATACTATAAAGAAAAAGCTATATATGTATATATCTGAATCCCATAGTCACTATCAGCTATTTTTTCAAACATTCCCCTTGAAACATTCTTCTACAGTATGATATTATGCGAATAATATGTAGGACTCTATTTATATGATTCTTTTTATGAATTTGTGATTTTGCATGCTCCTCATATTTTGGCCTTCTTTCATCTTTTAACATTCCTGTCCACAATTGTCATGTACAAGTTCAAGGTGAGAAAGCAGAGTAGGAAAAGAACTTGCCACCAACGGTTAGAGTTATACCGCCATAGAGGATGATGACCCATTGACCCGTTATGTGAGCTTTGTGAAATAGAATGAAGAAATACAAAATGAAACCGAGTATATAGAGTATAATAGTACATGCAATTTTTATATTGAAAAAAATGGTGTTCCGTTGAGTGATCAACCAGGAAACCATTAAGCCTCACTACCGCCTTAGACTTTACACCATCACCTTCATTGCGGAGCTATTAATGAACAACACAACATATTCTAACAAAATCCTTACAGAAATATCGCCCATTTTGATACTATCACCTACCATCACGTAGAAGTGGTTCAGATGATGGACCTGCACACATAAATTTTTTGAGCAGGTGTTAGATAATTATACCATGTCCATGCATGTACCCAACTATCCAAGTGTATATGAAAGTGATGAAATCATGTATGTAAACTTGATGGCTTTACATTAGCTATGAAAATGTGTGTGTGTGTGTAAATTGTCTAATATCATTAGGTTTCTCTATATTTACTCTTCATATGCACATTGATATATATTGGATATTGAAACGACAATGCCTTCGAGTTATATATCTATATATTTCGAAACAGAGCTAGTTTTTTTGTATTTATATTCCATGTATGCAAACATAAGGATATTATGGTCTTTGTGCTTGATATTTCTTCCTCAAAAAAACCTTTTGTGAAACTAGTAAATAGCAATTAAAAAAAATCGTGGGGAAGTGATTAGACACATAAAAGAAGCTATTCAGATTTTACGTTTTCCGTAGTTAATATTATCTCCGTGTACACAAAAAAGTAGCAAGGTACAAGATTTTATTTTTTAATGTTCCCATACTTCCCAAGCAATGACTCTTGAGTAGCAATTCAATTTATATTTTTGAGTTTATTTATTGATTTAATTAAATAGTCCATCATATTTAACATGCTTAAGCTTAACACTTTTTTTCAGAAAATATATGATAAAGATAGTATCAAACATTCCATTGTTGAAACTTTAAACATGGCTCTTTTAGGGACGAAACCAGATTTCGAAAGACATAAGAAATCATTCTTTCATTTTAACCATTTGTACTCGTTAGGATTTATGAAACAAGCTGTATTTTCTTCTTAATATTACATTATTACCTATAACCTAGCAAGTGTTGCTCCCTTCGCCCCATGTGTTACTATGGGGTTGTTTACTTTCGACTTAATGGACTTAATAAGAACAGTGACTTGATCGTTCAGCCACTAAGTCATGTTTACTTATGACTTAATTGAAAGCACGACTTAATCATTTAGTCAAAAAACAGACTTAATCATTAAGTTGGAGAATAACAGTCATTCCCATTAAGACATTTATTAAGACGTTTTTTCCCGTCAATTTTTTCAAATTGATTGTGGAATAGTTTTATATTAATAAATGAAGTTTCTTATTGACTTTACAACTCAAGAATAATTAGGGCTGGGTCCGAAAAACCGAAAACCGAAAACCGAATCAAATCATACCGAACCGTAACCAAATAAAACCAAACCGCTAACAAACCGAAACCGAATGTAAAAAACCGAACCGAACCGTAGTTGTTTGGTTCGGTTTTGATTTTTACTCTTCAAAACCGAACCGAACCGAACAAACCGAACTAATTAAAATATAAAATTTATTTGTCAATTGTTAAGCATTAATCCTAACAAATCTTAATATCATTAATAGTCTTTGGTTTTCTTGTGCTAGAGAAATAATATAATGTTTGTGTTATGTTTAGTTTAGTTTATAAATTCATTTACACATTCATTGTCCGTAATAATGTAGCTATACGAAATGATGATAATATGTTTTTACTAGTTATTAGTATTAATTAACTTTTATTTTTATTTAACTTAAAGAATTCATATTGATGAAACAATAAATATTCATCTCAACTATATCACATAGAACGTATATAACTATATACTCATGATTTTTTTGAACTAGTCACAAACAATGTAGATTAATAATATATACTTTTATCTCTCTCGTATACTCATATAATTCAAGACATATTTATTTATTTTCATTTTTATTTTATTTGTTGTAGTGTGCTTGCATTCTTTATGTAATACTATGTATATGTTTGATCACTCAAAGTATTATAACAATTTTAAATCAAATGATAATTTTTTGGCAAAAAACCGAAAAAACCAAAACCGAATCGAAACAAACCGAACCAATCAAACCGTGGTTTCAAGTTTTGAAGTGTAAAACCGAACCGAAACCGAACCGAACTTTTTACTTTGATTCTATATTTGGTTTTAGGTCAAAACCGAACCGCAAGAACCGAACCCACCCCTAAGAATAATACTCCCTCCATCCCATTTTAAATGTCCCAAAATAAGTGTTTCATTTCCTTTTTTGGAAAGAAATATGTGGCATACACCATTTCACTTTATTATACTCAAATCTCAACCACAACTTTTACCAGACAAACATCTTAATCCAGACAGAACTTTATGGAACAAAAAAGTAAACAGCCCCTTTGTGTACTTTCCTTTTTATTTTCTGTCCCACTAAATTTGTCTCATACAATATTTATATGGTTCAAACTTCAAACCAGTGAAGTGAATAGCGGCGCTTTCGCGCGCTATAGCGGTTTAGCGGAGCGGCTGACTGACCTGGCGCTACTTGGAGTCCTCTAGCGTTGCGTTTGGGTGAAGCGTCAAAGGGTAAATTTGGCGTTATTGCGTTTGGGTGACTTGGCGGCCGCAATAGCGCCCGCGCGATTGGAACAAAGGTGGCCGCAATAGCGACGCGATTTCTTCCTTCGATGTTCTGAAACTTTTTTCTGCGTTTAGTTTATTTAGGGCTGAAGTTTAAGGGTAAATTAGTCTTTTTGATATAAAATATCAATCACAGTAAACCCTTCTACACGTGCGCAGACCAATACCTTACAAACGGCCCCATATTTTGAACTTGGTCTTTCATTCTTTTCCTTCAAAGACGACAACACCTGCGGTGACTTCTCCTTCAACGACCCAACATCTGCGATGACTGCTCTTCCTTCCACTTTGCCTCTTTCCAGTACAATCGCCTCTTCCCCTAAATAAACTATACTCTTCCTTCATTCCTGTACTTGTGCTGCAACATCTTCTATAGGGGTGTAAACGAATCAAATAATTTGTGCTCGATTCGCGATTCGAATTCGTATAACACGATTCGAATTCGGAAAATTCAAATACAAATACAAATAAGAATATTAAATTTGATTCGAGTTGTTATCAAATACAAATAAGAATATCAGTGTATTCGATTCGAATATTAATCAAATATATTCGATTAATAATAATTGTAATATTAATATCAATATTAATAATAATAGTAATAACACTATAATAACTTTTAAAAGATATCAATACCCTCAAAGTGTACCCCATATATACATTTTTGCATACCAATTTCAAGCCTATATGTAATAAACTAGAATATAAATACGAATACAAATCAATTTTTTGGTTCAAATGTCTTTCAAATACAATACAAATAATTATGTATTCGATTTGAAGAATAAAAGTACAGTTGTTTGACTTTGATATATACAATTATCAACTTATTTCACACATTATAAGTATATAATTTCTAATATGTGTGTGTTAGTGTTTATTTCAAAAGGTTTGAAGTAGATTTATACGGAGTATTTATTAATCATAAAATTAATTCACTTTAGTATATTGTGCACCATCTAAAAATGCATTGATCCATTAAATTTAAATTCTAAAAACACATATTAAGTCATAGCATGCATTTACAACATAAACAATATGGAGTATAAGAAAAGTTATTTTAAAGCGATACTCCGTATTTGACTAATATTTAACCTATGATCAAATCGATTCGATATTCGTATATAATTCGTTAACTATTCGTATTGTTAAACAAATACAAATACAAATCGAAATTAATATTCGTTGCATATTTGAATTCGAATTCGTATTCGAAAAAATTAAACAAATACAAATACAAAATCTCATTATTCGACTCGATTCGGTTCGTATACAACCCTAATCTTCTACAAGATGAAACTTTTCTTTGTTGAAGGCTTCTGTTCTTCTTCTCATTAAGCATGGAGTCTACTGCCACTTCCATGTTCAAGCCCACTGGAGCCAGCCTTGACCCGGCTTGGGAGTGGAACAGTTTGAAAGATTTAAATGACAAGAAGACAGTCACATGTGATTTTTGTGGCAAAACTACTACTGGAGGAATAACTAGAGCCAAAAGACACCAAATGGGAATAAGAGGAGATGTAGGAGCTTCCAGGAAAACTCCAGCTGATGTTACACTTTTACTGAAAGAAGCATATGAAAAGAAAAAAGGGGAAAAAGAAGCTTACATGGAGTTGCAAGAAGATGAAAATGACATGGAAGAACTCACTGAAATTCTGAATATCAGAAAAGGAAAAAGGCCCCTAACATCAGTTGCCTCTCATTCTACTGCCAAAAAGTTCAATCCCTAGAAGGCTTGATTTTTTATTGAGTTTAACTTTTAGATTGTGTTGGTTGTTTATGCTTTTGATCTTATGAGTTATGGATTTGCGGCATTAAACTTAAGGAATACAATATAAGTTAGTAGTTTATTGTCCTTATCATTGTTCTTTTTTAAGCATATGTTATACGGATATGCTAACTGTAAAAGTATAATTCTGTTATTTAAATTTTAAGTACTAGGTAGGCTCTAAGGATCCCCGGTTTACAATCCCCCCCCCATCCTAGATAAAAAAAACTGATCTTGACAACTTTGCTTGATTTTAACAAATAAAATAGCTTTTTTTTACTGTCAGGCCATTAAATGCACTTCATAACAAGACTGACAAAGAATTTCATCATCATGTAATTTAGTGTTTTGATAGTCTAAAATTCATTATGTTTTGTACAAATTACGGGATTGTAATCTATCAAGTTATCTTTATATATTCATGCAAAAACACAATGAAAAGTTTTATGTTGAACACCCTTCCTGGCACAAGTTTGTAAAGAAGGAATTATTAGATATTTAGATGAACTCCAAAAACCATGGTCATCATAGCCTCATAGGTTCTTCACACTTGCATGAAGATATTGTGAGAGAGCGGTTAGTTGAGATAGTTACTACAGCTAGGTCCCATTGCAAAATCAATATTATAAAATCAACAAGCACATCGTGTGACATTTACTGTACACTAAGGCAGTGATTGTATTTGCTTGTGCTTTTGAGACTTGATTTACTTTAGTGCTCATTGAGGAAATATTTAATAGTAAAATATGGCAGATTTTTAAAACAAAAGTAATTTAAAGACGTAGAATTTGGAGTAGTTTGGCAAAACAAATTGATTATTTGTGTAAAAGTGTAAACACACAAAGTACTTAAAGAAGCAAAAGCCCCTAGCTAAAACAGTACTTACGACTTTTTTATTAAGGAAATGGAAAACACTCCTGAAGCATAAACACTGAATTTCTTCACTTCAAACAACTAATACCAAGAACACACAAAATATACCTCCTAAAATGGTACTATAATACCAAATTGCTTCCAACTAGGCTTGGGCCCCTAGCCCTAAAGTATAACTTAAGTACGTAACCAAATTTTCTCTTCCGTTCTTGTCATGCACTTGGAACCACTACAATGGGGTTTCAAGTAGAAAAGAGTTTCAATCTCATGTCCCGTTTTTAAGCCGATGGAGGGCATGCCATGATTTTTTGTTAACATCTTTAATTTACACTATGGGTCATCCGGAAACAATCTCTCTGTGCTTTAGTACAGGAGTAAGATTGCGTACATCCGACCCCCCCTTACCCCACCATTGGTGGGAGCCTTTGCGGCACTAGGGTAAATGATGATGATGATCTTTAATTTACTTTTCTATCCATTCTTATCATGCACTCGGAAGCACTATGATGGGGTTTAAAGTCGAATAGAGTTTTAATCTCAAGACCTCTGACTCCTCTCAGAGGCATGCAAATGTACCCATATCTCAGCTTGCTCTATAAATTGTGCATAACTAAATATCAAGGGTATGTTTGGACCCGAAAAATGATAGGGGAAACGAAAAATGCTAAGCAAATAATCTTTTTTTCTCATTATCTTTCTTTCCTTTGACTCCTTTGAGGCTCCAATATCATGGATTGTTGTATGTGATTTTAGCTGGGAAAAACACAAAAATAGATCTTTTAAAAAATTTAAATATACTTCGATTCCTTAGTCTTTATATACTTCCTTTGTTCCGTTTAGTTTGTCACTTTTCTGTTAATGCAGTCAGCCTAAATCCTTTTTATTTTGATTTTCTGTATCGATTTTTAACTTATGTGCATTTGTTATTTGCAGTTCAATAGTCCTATATAGGGCAAGTACTAAACTTTTAATTTAGTTTTAAATACTCCGTATGTTGATTTTAAGTATCAATATTAATTTAAATATTATTAGGTGAGATTTAACTTTAACTTCAGCCAAACCTCGAATCCAAAATGCAATAAATCTAGTTCGTTGATTGAACCATTTTTATTTTCCAACAAATTTTATTTCCTTCGAAAAACTTCAACTATATATTATCCTTCTTAATTATTTTCATTTCCTAGCATTCTTCAGGTGCCAAATAAAAACAATGACAACCCCAAAATGAACAGAAACTTACCTCCAGAACCACGTCCTGCAATAGGGGGCTGTTTGGAAAACTTCCCTCTGAGTTCCATAACAACCAGATTGGATAGAAGAAGGGCAGCACAAAGAGCCCCAACCGTGAGCATCATAAATACAGCATCCCAACCTTTAGTTGAGAGAAAACCGGTCAAAAGAGGACCAAGGGCTGCACCAAGAGAACCGGTCCCATCAATGATGGCAGTGACCGTAGCCAGTGCCCGAGAATCTCCCCTCAGAGATCTGTGTGTACCAAGATCAGCAGAGACTGCAGTAGTAATGAGTGCATAGGGTCCATTCACAAACAAGCCCGCCAAAAACATGAGGAGGATGTTAAGGGCCTTGGAAACACCTCCAAAGACGCGATATAAAAGCATAGCAGGGATTGCTGCGTACATAAAGGTGGCTGCTGTAGTTGCACGAGCATCGAACCAGTCAGACAATAAACCGGCTAGAATCCCTCCAGCAATACCCCCAACATCAAAAAGAGTAGACAGGTTTCCCGCAGACTTGACTGACACATATTCTCCGCCAATAGCTGTGTAGAGATTCATAAGGACTGAGTAAGGATCCAAAAAAATAGCAACTTTGGATAACCAAACCATTTGAACTGGTTTTTAAACTACTGCATTACTGATATATGCTATAGTACTATGAAACAACGAAATACTCTAATCTATATAGCTAGGGAAAACACTAAATAGGAAGGAGGCAAAGAGAAAATTCATCAAATCAAATCATTATACAATTAAAAAATATCATCAAAAATTAAAAATGAGGAGCCAAAGTTTGAGAGCATGACGGGAACAACTTGTGATATATGTGCTTTTATCGTGAGTATTCAATCATTTAATCTGTTAAAGTGTTTTTACGAAAAAAGCACCGATCTGCTCCTTTCTTGAATAAGCAATATAAGTGTTTTTTATGTTAAAAACAATTTTTCCATTCAGGAGACAAATAGAAAATTCACGAAATATAACCATTACAAAATGTTGATAAAAAATAAATAAATAGCACATAAAGTTTGAGGACACGTTTGACTGTTCATCATAACCTGCAACATTAGTGCTTGTATAATAAGTACTCACTCATTTAAGCTGTTAAAATGTGGTGCTGAAAACACTAATCTCATGCTCTTCAAAAACACGGGTGGGCAGGGCCCGTGATACTTCTGTAACTTATCACGGGCTGTGTAATTCGAAACAGTATAGTACCAGTACGGAAGACACACCAAATCCATTTGGTGCCTTCCCGTTTTGAAATGGGACAGTACCATACATGGTGAAGCCATGCCGAAAATTGGAAACATCCTAATTTACTTTTAGAGATCAATTTTTTTGTTAATACCAATAGGGCAAAAGATTATATTGATAGCAAAATATCAAAAATATTCATTTTAATATCACTCAAATTGAAACATAAATTGTAAAACACCTGTATTCTTACAAGTTTACTTTCTAAATTTAAATGAACAAATAAACTAAATTAAATATCTTCTTACTAGTTAGTATATGTCTAGTAAGTGCAGTTAATTAAAAAAAAGTAAGTGCAGTTACTATTACCTAGTTAGAAAACAGTAATAATAAATGCAAAAATATATAGAAAATATACAGATGGATAGATTAAATAATTAAAGGCCTGTATTTTCATTGATAAAGATAAAATCATAAAAATATACTCCGGTATATAACCAACAGTACGGTTTGAAATAACTGGTCTATTAAAAATGTAAAGCGGCCTCACGTTTGAGATCGGCTCAGAATAAGTTCGGTACGAATAAATTGTCTTGTTTCAGAACATGCTAATCGGATCGGTACCATAATGGTCCAGTCCAGTACCATGTTTTTTTTCAGTTTCTTTCCCACTTAACTAAAAAATAAGCATGAGATGTGTTTTTTATGGTGAAAGCAGTTCCATTTTCCAGCCGAACACTTCTTCTGAAGTAAAAGTACTGTTCTTCCCATATAAAGCACCAAATGCTTTCTTTGAAATGCTGAACAACCAGACCATTATCATGTCCATCATAAAATAAAGAAGTTATTTAGGAGTCTTTGCAACCTTGATTTCTAATGTCCATATGTATTACTAAGGCATCAGTTATGTACGTTATTATGTATGACTTTTGCCCCCTTTTGTTAATGTTCTCGGTATGCCCCCGCAAACAACCCCTAACTTTTATTGTATACGATGACTCCTGATTGATACAAAATAAAAGGCCCAGGATGCAGCTAGCTTGTTGAACTTGAGGCCCTTCATGCCATATGGTGGACTTCTTAGCAAGAAAATCCGCGGATGAAGTGTTTTTATACTTTTCTTCCCTAAGCTATGCTAAATTTGGTCAAAATTAAATTAAGTTTAAAATACAATTAGGTTGGATGATTTAGGTGAGTTGTAGCTTTCCAAAATTAAAAAGTTTTACCTTGATAAACTGAGACTCCTTTTTTGGTACAGAAGAAATACAAACTTAATGTGGAGTAATAATAATTTGTCATGCATATATATGAAAGGAGGAGGGTGTTTTGGTAGGCGCGTGACGGCCAACAATATCACTTAGTCACATCACATGACATGAATTGAAATATGAATATCTCTCTGTTTGGCATCGATATCATAGATCGATTCATGTTAGCCGACCCCAAATTTTTTTGGGATTAAAGCTTGGATGTTGTTATATATGAAAAGTCAGCTTCACTTTTCATCATTTGCAATGGAGCCAAGGATTCGATATTTTTTGGCTTAAGAATATGATGGAATAAAGCAAAATGGCTCACTAAACTAAGTGTGCTTCTTTTCTATGAAGTAGTAATCAATTCATGCAACTTTCGACGCGATTTTCACCACGGGTCATCCAGAAACAGTCTCCTTGTGCTTTAGTATAGGGGTAAGGTTGCGTACATCTGACCCTCCCTTACCCCACCGTAAGTAACGATGATGGTGAAGAAAAGTTAGCTTTAGTGAAATATTCAATTCAATACATCGTTGTTTGTACCGTAACTAATGTCTTACCAATAGCACTAATACAACAACAACAAACATCCAAGCCTTATTCCCAAAAGATACCAATAGCACTAATGCAAATAATAATCAGTTAATGTAGAGAGTAAATCACAAAGTAAGAGGGAAAATGAGAATATCAAAAGCAGTTATATTGTAAGAGAGTTAGCAAAGTTCTTCCTAAACACTATCTTCCAGCACATAAACCACAGCAGGTGAATGGTGCACAAGCGGACAAGCCTAAGAGTGATACGGAGATTACCTGTTTGGCTGAGATAAAATGGCAACCAGTACAAAAAAGTGTAAGCCACCAACTTTGAAAAAAAGAGGCATAAAGCAAACGGAATAACTCCAGGTATTGTAGTTGCACCAAGGAGGCCAATACTTCTTCTGTTCACAGAACTATACCGAGCCAAGCTTTCATCTCCTGCCATACTTCCATTATCTGTCTGGCCTTCTTCATCACTGTTCATTGCCACAACACCGTTTTGGCAAGGAAATCCAACATCCTCAGGATAAGCAGGCAAGAAGAAGTACACCATCATCCCTGCCAAAAATATAAAAGCACCTGGGAGAATAAAAGACCAACCCCATCCGTAGTCTAAAACACTAGCCGCAAGAAGGGAACCACTGATATTCCCAACGGATGTATGGGCATTCCAAACACCCATTATCAATCCCCTCTTCCTCTTGTCAAACCAATTCCCAATAACAGCCACAACTGAAGGCCATCCTGTGGCCTGAAACAATCCGGCAACCATTTGTGTAGCTAAATAGAACCAAAATTCATGGATATTCCAGAAATATCCCATGCCGGAAAGACCAACAAATATGCCACTCCCAATCATTCCGGTCGTCAGGAACAACCTAAGGTCCAATGAATCCCCCAGATGTCCTGCCACATACATCCCCATCGAATAACACGCGAGAAAAGCAACATCAATTTCCCCCAACTTCTTTGTCCCGTCTTTCCCATTGAAGGGTTCCCACCCTTTTCCTTTGGATTTTCCCAAATCAATATCTATGGACTCTTTCTTAACAAAAAGATCACCGACGGGCCACAAATTACGGAGGGAGGTGACATTAGCATTGGCCTGAGGATCCAAAACACTCTTTACTATGCTACTGGGCTTCCTGGAAGCATGATACGAAGTATACGCTATAAATGTGACAAGTAGAACTACATATCTGTATGTCTGAAAGCTCCAATCTTTTCCCCTAACGCTTCTTATAAGAGAAATCCCGGGTGGGTTTCCCCTCTCCATCCAATCAGCTGGCATGTCAAAGAAAACTCAAACGAAATTTAACCTAAGCAAAGAGCCAGCCATGATTGAAATTGAAATGATTCAAAAAATTACCGCAAAACCCAGATTGATGAGCTAACACTGCATCGCAGGCAGGAAAATTTTCTCGGTTTCGTCGTTGTCTTCGTCTAGCCAGAGAGTGAGGACATGGAAAGCTGGGGAAGAGAGGAAGAACGATTATGGGATTCAGGAACTGAGAGAGAGCGTGGAGCGAGGTTGGCGGGGGAGAGTGATAACGTGAGCGAAGGAGGACACGTAGCACTGAAGGTGGAGAGAGAAAGTAGCTCAGTGCCTTCGTCACGCAAAGCTTGCCATTTGGTTGGTCTTAACCTGACCAGTGAGCCCACTTTGTTATTCACCAGTCACCACCCTCTATTTTGGTTGGGAGCCAAAATATCCACTATTTTTGTTATCCGAATCGAATTAAATTGAACCAAAATGAAACAATATGTAATTTGGTACTCCCTCCGTTCTTTTATATACGTCCTCTTAGGCTTTGGCACGGGTTTTAAGAGGAAAATAGTAGGAGTAGTGTAAAAGGTGTAATGAGTAGTGGATAAATGAAAAAGTAGGAAAGAGAAAGGGGTAATGGTAATAAAAGTGGGGGTATAAAGGTATATTTAGAGTAAAAAGTTTCCTTAAATGGAAAGGAGGACAGATAAAAAAACGTCCCAAAAAAGAAAGAAGGACTTTTATTAAAGAACGGAGGGAGTATAAGTTTAATATTCCGTACTATTTCTGCCACAACAACAACATCCAAGCATTAATCTTAAAGTCACGAAGATAGAAGACAGACAAGAAGAAGAAGAAAAATAGGAAAAGAAGATGAAGAAAAATAAAGTAAGATCAAACGGATAAGATAAAGATAAATATAAGATAACAATAACATAAGAATATACGGAGTAAGAAACATAAAGATTAATAGTATTTCTTCTAAATCGTATTAAATCGAATCAAATCGAAACCGATAAAAATCGAAATATATTGAACCGAATTAAAGAAATTCAATAATTTTTTATATATTTTTAAAAAGTCACGAATCCAAACCGAATCGAACCAAACTGGAAAGTAGTATGATTTTGTTTGGTAACAATTATTCCAACCTGTTCTAAATCAAATCGATCCAAAAACCGATATATCCACCCCTAATTTTTATGTATGTTTTTTTATCAATATGGTCCTTCCATCCATGCAAAAGTATGACTATTGAGGGGGATGAACGGCGGACTCGTCCCCCTCCCGAACCGCCGCCATGGAGTGCAAGAGAGTTTAGGGTTTGAATGAAGACAAATGAATTCTGTCTTGATTTCGTTTTATTTTGTTTGTGTGTTTTCTTTCGAATTGCATGTTGTTTTGGGTGTGTTCTTATTTCCTAGCAGAAAATTTCTAGAATTTAGATCGGGTGATGAGAAATTTGGTTTGCCTGTCATTGTCTCAGTGCCCATTACAGGATCAACAAATTTTATTAATTCTACAGAGGTGATAGATTATATTCTAAGTCTGGTTCAAGGACGGACGACAAATGAAAGGCTTTTTATCGTTTTGTTTCCTAATTTTTCTCTGATTGTATTGTCAGTCAAGTGACGAAAGTTTTGTTGATTTAATATATTTGTTGGTTTAACGATTAAAAAAATTCAATATAGTCTTTCCATCTAATAAAATCCTTTCCGGTTTAACTTAAATAGAGTATAAATGCATGATTCTGGTTGAGTAAGAAAAATGTAAATAAATGTTAGTCACACAATACTTTCTGAAAATAAAAATGAAAATACTTTTGGACATCCCAAAATGGTAAGTGAGGGAAATGTTAGAGTTGGAGAGGGTATTTAATTATGAATTGACAATTCTCAAATACCTCATTTGCTCCATCTGTCAGGGCAAATACATTGTATGATGATGGGTCCCAAGTGAGGTAAAAGGCTAGACGGGGGGAGGGGGTTAATATACTTTTAAATCTTTTCATTTTTCAGCTCTTTTCCTCTAACAAAATGAGTTACAATATCTTTTGAGAGATATTGAAACATGCAGCAGAAGTATTGACCTCAAAAGTGTGACACTTTATAGAAACAAATGTTATGACCATTTTAGTTGTGAGGAGATGGATGAAACGTGGTACAAATGTGTTTGCCAGAAACAAATGACTTAAGGAGCAGGCTGTCGAAATCTGAAGGAGCTGGCTGCCAGACAGTTTGGAGTTGGCTGCCAAAACCTTTAGCTGTAGGAGCAGGCTGCCGAAATTAAGGTCCTGCTTCAATTAGTTAAAATACAACAATGAACTATACTCTAACACATTGATGGGCTTTAGAACTAGTTTTAACGCATAAATATGCAGAATTTGGACATAAAAAAATAGATCACTTTGATGATCAGAAAACAAGGAGTTGACTCACAGTGAACTGGAAATGTTCACTTGACAGTTTTAGTGAGCAAGCTGCTTTGTTGTGAAGTTGTGAAGGTGAGTGAGAACTGAAGTGTTTGTTGGAAGCATAATATAAAAGGTGACACAAGATATATTCTGGTTCAGAGGTGGTGTAATCCTCTTACATCCAGTCCCAACCTATTTCAGATGGGTTTCCACTAAATAAATATCCCATTACATTTAGTGCCCAATCTACCCTTGGGCCAGACGTAGATTGTGAGGTTTTTCACAATGAATTTGAACATCATTCCAAGCTACTCAGTCCTCCTAAGGTTTTTCACTAATGACATTGACTTGCCAAGAGCTACTCATGTCCTTACCTTTTCTCACCTTCTGGATTTGAACACAAAGTCCTCCAGAATGTCTAACACTAGTCTAGATTACATGAGTGTATATCTAAACTACCAACTAATATAAGTTTTATAGGTTTGTATGAATTATAGCTAATCTAAAAGCATTAGATGAGTGGGGTGGTAGCCGAGATGGTGAAGGGGAATCAGCTGGTTGGATGTGAGCATGGATAGTTTGACTCCCTTCTATTCCACTTGGCTCCTCTCGGGTTTCCACACCTGGTCTTCCTGCACTCCTTCTGTATTTATAAATTTGATCATTGAATCTCCACCGTTGGGTGAGGAAATCAATCTTGACTGTAGCTTCATCAACTTGCTTTGTTCCACTTGACTGAGGCAGCATGGTTGGTCTTTGTCTTGTAGTGACACGGATAAAAAAAATCACTCAACTTGTTTCCTCATTTCAACACAAAGATAAAGATGATTTATCTTTATTCTTTTTTACGTGTATAAACTTAGTATTTAAGCTAGGTAATGTTTCAATGGTTCCTTACAAATAACAAATACTTGCTTTAAGTAAAATAAAATTATAAGAAATTTATCATGTGATAAAAATATCTTATAAATTTACTTTTCATCAATTTGTTATTTTGACTGCAAGTTGGTCTTTTGTTTAATTGTTTTTGTGCTAAGAGAATAGAGATACTAGTCTAATACAGGGATAAATAAAAAGGGATGACATCATCAAAACTGTTACATTTAATCATCAAAATCTTGGGGATCTAACATATGAGAATATAATAGATAAGTCAATGCTAAAAAACTTTTCTCTCTTAATAAGTCTATGCAGTTCATCAAGAGTGGAATGAAATATAGCTATCAATATCTGTGAAATTATTATCAGGAACGATATTGTTGATAAGACTAAGGATGTTTTTACTTGGACTATTTTCAGTCCCAAATCAGACCAAACTTAAACAGACCAGACCAGACCTGAATTTCTTAGTTATAGAATACACAAAGGCCAGACGTTTACATGACCAGACTAGACCAGACTTAAACAAATCAGATCAGCAAATTGCAGTCCAAGTAAAAACATTCTAATTACTTTTTAGGAACTGTTGAGTGAAAATGATTATTTGGTAAGCTTATTTGATAGAGTAAATTTAGATAAAAAATATATTTAGATATTATTTTGTATTTCTTTTTTTGGAAAATATTATTTTGAAATTATTTAGTACTAGTATCTTTACTCGCGCTGTGCACGGGATAAACGATTTTGTTTTAGTTTTTCTATATATGTGTGTGTGTGCCGAACTGGCATATGTATATGAGTTATTAGATCTAATGGAAAGTCTCTTATTTTGTAGTTTACTAGTTTATAATTGTTGGGATATTGGGTCCAGGCCCAATATCCCTGACCCGAAGTATGAGGAAGCCAGGAGGAAGCATAAGGCCCAAAGCAGTCCAGACCCAACCGGCGTTCGGCACAATTCTTATACTTGGAGTATTTCAGAAAAAAATTACACCCAAACACCCCTGGCGGGGTCCCGCACACCGAACGGCCCACCCGAGCGGGTAGTCAGCAAGTGGAGGCCGCATTTAATGCAAGAGTATGGCAGCAAGTGGATGCATGGGTGCATACGTGGCAAAGGTCACAGCCTACCGAATTCCGCCACGTGTCCAGCTTACCCATCCCCATTTTAGTATAAATACATTAGGGGTGGACTCGGGCCAGGTGGCCCGGCCCGGTTACTGTTTGGCCCGGCCCGGGGCCCGGTGGGTCCATCGATTCGGTTTGGCCCGGCCCGGGTGATGGGCGGTCCGGGCTCGGGCCCTGCTTTAGGTGAACCGGCCCGACCGGTTCGGGCCCGGGCCAGATTTCTTTATTTATTTTTTTTGAAATTTTTTTAAGTTTTGGGTTGGATTAGGTATTTTGGGCCATTTGAGGTGGTTTGGGGTTGAGGGGGAGGGGTAGGGGTTGAATAGGAGAACCAAAAAAAAATATGGACCGGTTTGGCCCGGCCCGGTTTGGCCCGGAACCGGAACCGGCCACCGGCGGTTCGAGCTCAGGCCCTAGTTTTCTGGCCCGAGGCCCGGCCGGGCCCAGGCCCCAACCGGCCCCGAACCGGCCCGAGTCCACCCCTAAATACATGCGTTAAGAACATTGTAAAGGGTTGGCATTTCGATACTCAGAGCTTAGCAAATAGAATTGTATCTCTTATTCTTGTATTCTTGTACTCACCTACCGTTTGGGTAGTCCAAGTGTAATCGCAGCATCACTGAATACAAGTTAGCTCCTAAGTTGAGTAATCTTTCACTGTTTTATATTCTATACACTTTCCAAATCAACCCAACATCCTTACAATATCCAAAGCTTGTGCTGGGCTTTCAGATCTTCGGGATTAAACCTCAACAATAACAATGGTTGATAATGCACATTCTTATTTATTGACTATGTCTTATTTTTAACTAATTATTTAAACATGTTCTCAGTTTATATTATCCAATATTTAAAAGAGCCAATTTTTTATAACTCTTGTTGCATCCAAATGAACTTCAACTTTTCAATCATGTTTATCTAAACAAAAAAAGAAATTGCTCAATGCATATTTTTATCCATTGACTACATTCGTAGCTTACTGTTACTTCAAAACTA